TGAAACCAGTACAACAGCAAACATAAAAACAAAAAGAGAACTGGCTGACATGTTTGAACGCTTGTGGCGGCAGGAAATTAATTGCTACCCCTGTGTGACCTGTTCTGGCGCTACTCCAATGGGCGCTTTCGGGTAGTCAAGGCCCTATTGCCTCAAAATCCACATTCAAACATTAGTAAGTCCGCCAGGGCCAATCAAAACGCTGCATGCAAACAACTACATCTTACTTTATAACTACAAAAACTAGTGATACAAGACAAATAACTTTTTTTTTTTCTTTTCGTTTCACTTTACAACAGCTGTAGCACTACCTGATGACATAGCACCACTCATAAAAGAGTCAATGATCTTTTTACTCTCGTTGGCATGGCATACTACGTTTATGGACTTGTGGCGTGTATACCCGCAAACCAACCAACATTGGCCGTAGCACAAAGTCTGAGCAGAAAAATAAACCATCTGCCACTAACCAACCAACAACCAGCAGCAAGATAGCACAGCAAAGAATCGGAATGGGAGGCCATGAGCAGGTTATGCGTGTCAGAATAGGCACCGTACTGAATTTGCACCTTCGACGTTGTATTTTGGCTCTGTTGGTTAACGGCAATTTATGTCCAAAAATGGGGATTTAAATCAATCGACCAGCACTACAGGCTTATAAGTATTGATGGCAGGTAAAAAGAGCAATGTTCTTAAGTGTCAGGATGTCATTACCAAAGTTTGGGCAGGCTGTGACATTCTTAGTTTGGTTCTCATTTGTTTGTTTTGATCTATGGAAAACATGAATCACTAGAACAGTAACAAAAAATAACAGAAACCAACGCCTTGTGACCGGTATTATGAAGTAATTGTTTGTGCATGGTGATGCACCTAAAACTAAATCACCAAGTACGCTTAATTAACGCCACAGTGCACAATCCCTCACGTATGATGACTTACATGACTCAGAAATAAAGCCCAAAACAACTACTAGTGCAACAACAAAATATGTACGCCACGCACAGGGGTTGAGAGGGCACCATTAGAATTTCCCGGTAACAGTTGGACCACCTGGTCTCCTGGCCAGCACAAGAATGACCGCAACAAGGCACCTCTACCAGTTCGATTCTTTGCACTCCCTCTGCCACGCATCTGTTTGCTCTCTCAAACCAAAACACGCAAAAACCCGTCCACTTGCGACAACATGCTACCACTGCGTCAGTACGGTAGCGCCGCCCCCATTTCTGTGCAACGCTGTCTGTGGATCGTAAGGGCAGGACGGGATTTCCCTGCAGAAGAGTGTTGATGTAGTTATCCAAAGGCCACAGTTGAAGAACAACAACAAAAAAAACCCTATCCATACACAAACGGATGTTTGCGCCACACTGGTTTTCTAGGGGTGCGGTGTGACTGTGTTTCCACCCAAGAACCTACATCCCCTGCTAGATGAAATGGCTCCGAAAGCTTGACTGTTGTCGCGACAATGTTGGACAGCGCGGGTGCGGGACAGGAAATTATGCGTCCGAACCTCACTACAAAGCTACCAGACAGGAGTAGTAGCACTAATGGTAGTAGTGGAGATAATTGAATTATTAAACAACTCGCGGAACATCGTAGTAAAAATTATAAAAGAAACGACGCAATTAAATTCGGGAAAAAATGCGGAAAATGATCAGTATACACATTTGGAGGGATTTTTCAGCCGGTCCCGGCATTTCCTTTAAGCAGTCGTTGCAGAATATTTTGTGTAACAGCAACATGCGCCGAAAAAAGGTTCCGGGATCTAGTTTTGACGGGCTTGCATAGGCGTTAGAGTTTATCTTTAATCTTCCAGTTCCTTTTACCTCGCGCAGGTATTTGTTAATTTTCTTCTCCTTCAACATGGACCCCGTTGCTCAACAGTGAACAATCTTCCGCAAACCGGGGCATCTGGTCATCAAAAATATCGGGGGCATTCTGGTGCCGTCACGAATGGGGCGTGGCAGCCGCTTGCTGCAGCCAGTCGCAACCATCCACAGGTCGGCCCCCAGACGGCCACGGTGGCCATCATCTCTCAAACGGCGACCGCTAAGGACACGGTCCGGTGACGCACCCTCTATGACATTGGGTCAGTCTTGTTTCTAAAAGTAATTCCTTTAAAAGTCGTCAGTTAAAAAAAACACACACACACAGCGGAAATAGCAAACGATAGACACGCTACTTTGCCGCCGATTTAAAGGGAAGCATAAAAAATAAACGGCGCTCGTACACGCTCCACGCAATAAAGAATGTATAGAAATCTAAAACAAAAACATTTCTCCTTTTTTTTTTACGAGTCAAACAAATACTTTGCAGACTGGTGCGTAACATTTTCGCCCAAGGCCAAAAAAGAAGGTACATATTCGTAGGGGGGTAGTCGAGAGTAGTCTTGCACGACGTCAAAGGAGGCCGTCCACCCCGCTCCGAAGAGTCAGTTCCTCGCGGCCAGCCACTCGTCCACACGACACGGGCGCTTCCACAACGAGAGAAAAAGGACAAACAGCCGCCCGACCGTCTCCCGCCCCCCCCCGACGGCAATGGCACTCAACGGCTCTCTCGCCAATCCCCGGGGTGGCGCGCACCACGTCTGGCGGCATGTCCCGACCCTGGGTTTCCCGTGACTAGAACCTCTCAGCCGGGAGGCTCCACGCCGAGCTTTCCGGTGCTTCCGAAACCGGCGGACAACAGCAACAAACCGCACTTGCGTCGTCCCTGCGACGGTGGCACGGCCGTGAGGAACGCTTGGCGTCGCGGGGTCGACGCTTTTGGAGCGAGGCGGATCAAGGGGGCGCCGCCTAGCCGACCTCGAAGAGCACGCCGGGGTCGTGTCAGAGGGGGGCCAGCAGGGGCACGTGGTAGTACTTGCACAGGGGACGAGCGCACCTGCCCTTGGCAGCGTCGCGGCACACCGTCACCTTGCCTTCCACCACCTCCACGCACTCTGCAAAGCGTACAGGCGAGCAATCAGGACCCTGGGAACAGCAACTCGTTTGCAGCAATTAACGAACAGACGCCACAAAGTGTCTTTCAATCCTAAAAGCTCGCAATAGCCACAGTTCGTCCAAGCGGAACACCGTACGACTGAAACTGTGCATTGCACACTCTGTGGAGCAGCTGCGAAAAAGGAGGTGCCTCCCAGGTGAAAATCAATCCAGCTGGAGGAACTGGACCCAACTAAATCCAGGTCAGAATGATCCTGCTGGGTTCAACCGGATCAAGCTAAGACCAGTCCCATAATTCAGCCACATCTGGACCGATCTTCATAACCTGTAAGGCGAGAATGAGCTCAAAGGGTGATGCACGTTTCTGAAAGTCGTCTTTCATTACTCTTACGTCACGGGCCAGTCCAACAGCCGTTAAACAAACGGCAGTTGGCAGCCCTAACCGAGATGGTGCTATGCGCGGCTATTTTACTTCCAGGTGATACTGAAACAAAATCAAGTGTCACGTTGCTTTTCCCCTTTTCCACGGCATATGCGGCGACTGGCTAGCAGGCAAACATTTGCAAGGGTTGTTACCTATATGCCTAGCCTCGCACGTCGTCGCATATACATCCTACTTGTGCAAATAAAATTACATTACATTACAATAACTGATTACAGACATACTTTTATTTGCATTTGGCACGAGATATATGTGCAAAGAAATGCAAGCAAGAGAGACTCAATTGGAGACGCACTCCTATCAGCTCCAGTAATGATTGCCTTTTGTGAAGTTTCCCCGCCCGGCCAGGACCATTACAATGGCAGCTTTGAACCCCTCAACATTCCTCTCCCACAATATTCATTGCTTCGATTGTGTCTAGATGCTTCTTTCCCCCCCCCCCCCCTTTCCGAAACAGTAAGAGCGTTGCTAATGCTTCCTCTTGGTCACTACCATCGTGAAATCGGGTTAGCAAATTCTGTCCGATTCAACTTTTAGCGACTAAATAAGTTATCGGCACTCCACTCCCCAGTTTCCTTGCCCTGCACTAAGCACCGTTTCGTTGTGGAGTGCAGAGCAGATCGGGAAGCTGAGGCGTTTTGCTCTGTTGCAGACTGCGTTAACATTTCTCGAAGACAGAAAAGCATTTCCTGCCATTTTAGATAAAGAAGGCCCCACTGAAGCTCATTCAGTGGCTCCAGTTCAATTGAGGCAGGAGAGTCATTAGTGACTCAATGACAGCCAAGCACCGTCACATAACTCCACTCGACTGCAACTAATTCGGCAAGCTCAATGACAGTTAGGATGGCTCGTGTAACTAGGGACCCGGCTGACCACCCTCGCCTCTGCAGGGGGGAACTGTCAGCACAGAGAGAGAGGAGCCATCTCTGAAGCGTAGAAAAGACGCAACGGGGGCGAGCACTCGAGATGTTTTGATGACCCTTGTTGGGTTGCTGACCAAGGGTCCAAAGTATTCCTCCGCTGGATTTGCTCCGACAGTCTTCTGTCAATATATCCTCATTCTCTATGCATTTTATTCAAGCTACGTGCAAAGGGGTCAGACCAGGATAAACCATGTCTTAATCCTATCAATGAACACACTGTCACGTTAGTTTCACAATTGGATCTTGTAGCAAATTTGAGATTACACAAAATTCCAGTCATTATTTGAAATGACTTAGCCCTTGTGCATGCAGAGTAACCCCCAAGTCAATCACTTTTCAGAGAAAAGCGCAGGTTCTCGAAATTTTTTCCCACGGGTGTTTTCGTCTAGCTGGAGATTCAATCGGTCAAATTATCCAAACGTGGAAATTTACAAACAAATCTTATCCTTAGTACGAAGGCCCTCTGGCAAAACCTTAAGACTTTTTGTTACAAAATTTACAAACAAATCTTATCCTTAGTACGAAGGCCCTCTGGCAAAACCTTAAGACTTTTTGTTACAAACTCGTGTTTTCTGTGAGCCTGCACTCTGAAATTTTGGTGCGAGAAATGTACAGCCAAAGCACACCCAGAGAAAAAATTCGGAGTGCTTCTCCAGCCCGGAAGCCTAAAACAAGCAGCCAAAGGCGCACTCACCTTCAACAAGATGGACATAACGACACTGCGGCCTCTTGCACTGGCCCGACTTAAAATCTCGGCACACCGGCAGGGTGTCCAGTAACTGGGGGGGGGGGGGAAGAGCAGAAAGCACCGTAAGACGCAGCCCACACAAGGGCCAAAGCAGTGTTAATGCAGGCAGCCCCTGCCAAGCTGAGTGGCGCAGAGGGGGAAGAGCAATGCCATTAGGATCACTCGAGAGGCACAAGGGGGATGCAAAGCAGTAGAAAAATAACAAAACCAAGAATGCAGCCAATTGAGAGTGCCTCAGCACTCTCACTAGTGTTTAACCAGGGTGTCTGCAGGTACTCGGACTATGCCAGCAAGATTCCCAGGAATGAGTTGAACCACAATGATTGATGCAATCCTCTATAACCCCACCAGAAATGCGCATCATTTCTGGTGGGATTAGCAGAAAGGCTGGGCCGTGTACTAGAAGAGGCCTACTGCGATGCTGCTTTGCAAAAAATTCTACCTGCTGGCAATGGTCAGAATTGGCAAAATGACTGCTCTCTTTGACTGTCCTGGACCTCTGTTCAAACTGTCGGGGCCTAAGCAAGGAACGATTTGAGAAGAGAAAGGCTGAACACGGTACTATTGAAAAGATAGTGGGATCTGCAATATGCTGTACTACAGCTGCCTCTCTATGCCAATTTCATAAAACAAATACAGTGAGATATTGCCAGTAAAATATAACTTTTTGCATCTATTGATGGAAGATTACATCTTTAGTCACCCAAGATACATGTTTCCTGCATCAGCATTTTTCATTTCAAGAAGAGAATGTAAAAGTCTCTTAATATACACATTATACTACCAGCTCTAGTCCCAGCGACGAAATGCATTTTAGCGTATGCATTTTCAGACATTTTTAATGCTGTGCATATTGAAAAGGCCTTCATGAATTCTGGCCCGTATTTGACTCCTCTGTACCCAATGTTGCCCTAACCTGCACTGTGAGTCTGCTCGACACAGGGTGTCCAAATCAGTGGTCTGAATCAGGGAGTGTTTCAATTATTGATTCAGGTGGGTTCACTATGCTTCCTTCCGCAATCGCTGCCCAGCATGAGAGCACGGAGATCAATGTTCTGCAGATCCACTTTTAGTGCAAATTTCTTGCATTCCCCAACCGTGCTCCTACAGACACCCTGGCAGCTCTAGCAGAGGGTGCAAAAACAACAGCAGCAAAAGAAAGCCAGAGAGTTTTGTGGTAGGTTTGCTAAAGTGTAACCAAGTTCAAGCGCTTGCCTTGTGAATAAAGTAAAGACATCCCCTGCCAATCCAGGGCTACGGGGGAAAAAGAAAAAGGGGAGGGGGAAGAGGGCAAGGGAAAGAGTTAGAACCAATAAAACGGGATCAAACAAACAAACGAAAAAACTGATGCTCACGCGCACCAACACCAGTCATGCGCAAAACAGCCAGTGCTACACTTAGAGTTACCAAATGCGCAGCATGCACAACAAATCTGGGAGAATGAACAAACAAACTACCATTTCTAAAATACTGAGCTGTGTGTCCTCGACCACACCTTAAAGAAACACTGAAACTAAAAAAATAATTTTTTAATAAAAGTTTTTAAAAGTAATAAAAAGATCTTTAAGAAGAAAACGAAGTTTGACGCAATAATTACATCAGACGCAACTTAGGTGAAGGTAGCCCTGCTTTAGCCCCGCCCATAACGAAAGGTGCTTGGCTATACACCTATTCCACAAGGGCGCAACCATCTTGAATGTCGTCGCTTCTGGTATGTGGTAAAACATCGTTTTGACCTCTTCACACTGCTGGAAGGTGTTTTTGAAAAATGTGTGATTGTCACACATTCTTGTTTGGCCTCACCTCTATTTTCTCGCATATTCCAGGTTGAAATGTTTTAGTATTTTGTTGTCCCGCATACCAGATACGGAACCCACGTGACTGAGAAGGACAGGAAACAGAAGACGTCTATGGTTGGTGACAGGTTCAGAGTTGAGGGCGAGAGAAAGGAAGGCTGGGGAAGAGGAAGCATCCCTCTCTCTCTCCACCATTCTGCCTGGTTACTCCGCCCCAGCATTCCTTTCCCTCGCCCTGAACTCTGAACCTGTCACTGACTGTAGCTAAGCATCGTTTCTTGGCTCTCATTGGATGGAGAGATTACTGACGTGTAGAATTTTGTAGTAAAATAGTTTTCCTCGGGATGGTAGTCTTTCAATCGACATATTTTATGTGTGAGAAACAAACAATATAAATAGTGTCATTATTGTTTTCAGAAATATTGTGTGATCACCTTTTCCACTTAGGATTCAAACAATAACAAACATGGCCGCCAACACTTGTGGCGAGCTGTTTACACGCCACGTAACTTGCTGAGCTCTTCTAATTTTATGAACGTGAGTTGCTTTGTGTTTACCGAGATGTTCAGAGGAAGATATCCTCAACCTACATAGTTTGCAGCAAATAACTAACGCAAGCAGGCGTCTTTGGAAGCGCAGCGCGAGAGCTTGTTTTCGTAGCGGGATTACCGTGTCTCACGTCTAGTGTCTCACATCAACTATTTTACTCAATATGGCTCGATTTGTTTGTTTGCGCGGTTGGATGCCGAATAGATGTGTCAATTTATGTCAAAGCAGCACCTCTACCTTGAGAATCGTGCAACCGTCGTGATTGCAACCATGGTTTCAGTACTAAGAGGTAACCTACACAGGTATGAATTTGTGAGCCATTTTGCTGTAAGCAGTAGGGCGTTCGCCTAGCAATACCGTAATATCTAGAGAAATAGCCCACCTAAAATTGAAAGCAAATCGGGTGAAAATAAGGAGTAAGCTAACTTTCGGTGTGCAATCAAAAAAAGTTGGGAAAACCGCTAGTTTTTAATTTTGTCACCTGCAAAACTTGTGATCGCAGGGAGAGGCGATGACCCGAAGACGACTGTTCTTCCCAGTCAGCAGTGTTTGCTTATCTTCCGCCGTGGCAAAGTAACACCATTTGTGCCGAGGTCACCATTGGGCAAGGCCCTGCAGTTGCTAGAAGTGGGCTACCTTTCGGTGTTTTTGTAAAAATAGCAAATTGTACCAAAAATAGCAGGCGGGTTATCTTTCGGGGAGGGGGGGCATCTCTCAGGATATTATGGTAGGTTTGTCCAGGTATGTTTCCGTCACTTCGCTTCGGAAGGCCCGTTCCTCTCAAGTTTTGAGCAGTGTACCTGGCTTCCTAGAGCCAATACTTTTGGTCGTGTTTTCATTGTGCGTCATGCCGCTCAGCCACTTCATTTTTTTATTTTTTTTTTAGTCCTTTTGGTCGCCTTCTAATGCGCATTAACAGACACTGACAGATGCCTGTATTGGACCGTGGCTCGTGCATGATAAAATGTTAGGACGCCGCTTTCAGGGTAGCGTCTTGCGAGCTTTGCAGATGGTTTTAGATGAAGCGGAATAGCAGACGGACGCAAGCGAAGGTGGACGCGCCTCTTTAATGGCCGGAGGATGCCTCGTGTCTGCTCCCACGACTAGCAGGCGATGTCAGGTGCCAGACTAAACGCACCGGACATCCCAACAGGGAGATACTAGGCTTGCGAGCATGTCCGGTCGAGCAGCCATGCCAAACCAGTAGGAATCAAGAGGACCACCGATTTTTGGGCGGGGCTTAGAGTGGCCCTTGACCTCCACCTAAATTGCATTAACAACGTAAATATTTGGATGCAAACATTCGACTGAGGTTAGTCTGGTTGGGTGGAATAATTAAAAAATGGGGGACGTCCGACCAAGTTTTAACTGGGAACCTTACGTTTCGATGCCTACTCGGCTCTTCACCAGGGATGACTGTGGCAATGACCGTTGAGGACCAGTGTTTTTGTTTTCACCTTCTTTTACAGAGCTGCATTTCTTTTTGAGCTGGTGATGTCTCGAAGCTCGTGGACATACGGAGATGGTGAAGCGCAAAGAGATGTATTTATTGATGATAAAGCTAGTAAGCAGGCGAGCTCGTTTAGGTTGAGATGTATGCCCTTTTCCCATTCTCTCCGTTCGTCTCCGGTCTTAACGATGTGCGATGTATTTATGTTTTCTGGTGTACTTTGCATCTGCCACGACTCCAAAAAATGCCAATGTCGGTGGCCGGTTTCAGACTTGAGAATGCGGGTGTTCTCAAAGTCAGTGTTGTTGCTGAATATTGCGATGTCAAGGACTATTGCGTCAAAAACACTTGCATTCTGGACACCAAAACCAACCACTGACAGCGACATTTCTTGGAGTCGTGGCACTAATAAACATGCCAGAAAACATAAATACATTTTTTTGGCAAACGTCCACGGGTTTCAAGAAATCCCCAGCTCAAAAAGTGAAAGCCATTTACAACTCCCTGTAACGCCGAATTAGAGCGCAGCTCTTGAGGAGGAGGAGGGAAGTGTACTGGGGGGGGGGGGGGGGGGGGTCAAGTGACCTTGGGTTGGGGGTCACGTGACCTAGAGGGGTCACGTGACGATGCCGATGACGTCATCAGTAACGATGACGATGCGGATACCGATGACGTCATCAGTGACGTCACTCATGACGTCATCAGTGATGATGACAATGACGATGCCGGTGACGTCATCAGTGATGATGACGATGACGATGCGGATGCCGGTGACGTCATCAGTGACGTCACTGATGACAATGCGGATGGTGATGATGACGATGACGATGCGGATGCCGGTGACGTCATCAGTGATGATGACAATGACGATGCGGATGCCGGTGACGTCATCAGTGATGATGACGATGCGGATGCCGGTGACGTCATCAGTGACGTTACTGATGACGTCATCAGTGATAATGACGCTGACGATGCGGATGCCGGTGACGTCATCAGTGACGTCACTGATGACGTCATCGGGGGTCACGTGACCCCCGGGTCACGTGACTTTGGGTGTCACGTGACCTTGGGGAGTCACGTAACCTTGGGATGACCTTGGGGGTCAAGTGACCTTGGGATGACCTTGGTTACGCCGACGGCGACGCCGCTCAAGCCGGGAACGGGCCCCTAAGAGCTGCGCTCTAAAAATGAAAGCCATTTACAACTCCCTGTAACGCTGAATTAGAGTGCAGCTCTTGAGGAGGAGGAGGGAAGGGTACTGAGGGGAGGGTATACCCTTCCTCCCTCCCTCCTCACCCTGCCTGCTACTCTTCCCTCCGAGCGGCGTCGGCGTAACCGTGAGGTCACGTGACCCTTGTGACGTCGCGTGAACCTCATGACCTCACGTGGGATATTGAGGTCATGTGGGGTTGTGCGACCCCCCTCAGGACCCCCTGAGGTGAGGGGGGTCCTCAGGAACACCCTGAGGACTGCCCCCAAAAGGGGGTCATGTGACCCCCTCAGGACCCCCCTGAGGGGTCCTGAAGACCCCCTGAAGTCACGTGACCCCCTCAGGAACCCACTCAGGGGGTCATGAGGACGTTTCAGCATGATGCCGAAACGTCACCATGCCGAAGCGTCGCCGCGGTTACGCCGATGGCACGCCGACGGCGACGCCGCTCAAGCTGGAAGTGGGCGCCTAAAAGCCACGCTCTAAAAGGAAAGAAGACGAAAACGAAAAAACCGCTCTTTGACGGCCATTGCCACAGTCACTCCTGAAAAAGAGCCGAGTAGGCATAGAAATGTAGAGTTCCCAAATAGGGCTTAATTGAACGTCCCCAATTTTATAACATACATATTGCAATAAAAATGTTTCAGACTAAAAAATTGTGTCCCTCTAGGCACTTAAAAAATGCTTTTTTAATTTCAGTGTTTCTTCAAAGGCCTGTTCACACATACATGGCAGCGATATACCAACACTAGCAACAGTGCTGATGAAGCTCTGACTCGAAGGTATCTTGGAACTGATGCAGCGAGGTCAGTGTTATTTCCAGCACTAATAGCGCAGAGGTAGCACTGTCGTGCATGTGTGAAGAGGCCTTCAGTTTGATCTTGGCCAAACCCAAGGGCAAATACTAACACACTTTCCGCAAGTACATTCATCAGATTCATCGTTTATAGTCTCTGACTGTGATCAAAAGGTAGAAAGCAGTCAGAACATTGGTGAAGTAAAGAAATTTCAGGACCTGAGGTGCAAGACAGACAATTCGAGGCCATAGGCAGCCATTTAAAATAATATACTTGGTCCATTACAGTCATTTTATCCCCGATCAAGATCAGAAGTATGGAAGGCATTGGCTGATTGTCGTCCTCAAGCAAGCTAGTAGGCACGGGTAAGTGGAACATTGTATTCCATCTAGCAGCAATTCCTACCCAACTGACTCAAGGGCCCGACAGAAGGTACGCTTCCGAAAACGTTC